GGGCACCAAAACAGAATGTCTAGTCGCCCCTTTTGGGGGGGGTGGCGGCAACATTTTGTTAATTCTTTTGATAAATATGAATTAATACTCAATTCACATTAGTGACACATTTTTTAGCAGAAATTGTTAATACATGTTTAATGTGGTGTTTACATTAAAAATATAGGTACCCTACTTCAGTTTTCAAAACACTCTACCCTTTATCATTAAACTCCTTAGCATATTGTCTATCCTTAAAATATACTTCAAGGTTTCAAAGCACATACATTTCAGCAATTCTTGAGTGTCAGCCAGGTGCAAAAAAGGGCACCCACACTTTTGGAGATGCTCACAGATGGAGAATATTTAGGCGCAAAATGCGCCGGGCACCCTGCTAATTTCGAACCCTGACCGTGAGAGGGGAGAGACTTCCTTCTGTCCATCAAGCAATTGCTTTTTTTCACCTGCCTTGCCCCACCCTTAAGCCTTCATAAGGGAGCTGTTTCCAAAGGAAGAACTGTAAGGGGTGACAGAATTTGTCATCATGAGGTAGTGAATGAGAGACAGAAAGCTCACCCAGGCCCCTTTTGTCAACTTCAAAAAGAGCTGGTGAATTTTTGATCCCCACATGACTGATAAGTGTTAGAAGGAGGAGGTGGACCGGGTGGGTCCAGGGAATAATGGTTTGATTTATTATATTCCTAAACCACCTTTCATTCAAGTGAATTGCAAAGCGGCTTACAAACAATAAATAACAACATAATAGAACATCACAAATACAGCATACATCAAATAGAATAATTAACAAATCATCAGTAAAACTATTTCACACCATCAGTAAAGCAAATGCAATCTATAAATCACTATTAAGAAAATAACTAAGAAAAAGGCTAAGCAGCACAAATACAACAAAAGTCATATAGGATTCACAATGTAGTACAGCATTCGTAATCTATAAAACAATATTAACAACATTAACAAAATAGTAACCAAAAAATAAAGTTTTTTTTTTTTAGTTTATTTGGAGGTGGGGCAGCACAGGTGAAGCCGGTCACCAAGGTTTGTTCTTGGTTGACAACTTATGGTTTGTCTTGAGGTGACAAACCACAAGTCCAGGTTCAGATGACAAACTATAGCTAAGCTTGTACCAGCCAAGCAGCAGCGGGACTGGAGGAGGAAAAAAGTGGCTGTAATCTCCTCTCTAGGGTACCACATGCTTGTGGGGTCACCGTAAGCTGTGTTTTAGCTTAGCATTAGAATCATAGAATCATAGAATCATAGAATCATAGAGTTGGAAGAGACCACAAGGGCCATCGAGTCCAACCCCCTGCCAAGCAGGAAACACCATCAGAGCACTCCTGACATATGGTTGTCAAGCCTCTGCTTAAAGACCTCCAAAGAAGGAGACTCCACCACACTCCTTGGCAGCAAATTCCACTGTCGAACAGCTCTTACTGTCAGGAAGTTCTTCCTAATGTTTAGGTGGAATCTTCTTTCATGTAGTTTGGATCCATTGCTCCGTGTCCGCTTCTCTGGAGCAGCAGAAAACAACCTTTCTCCCTCCTCTATGTGACATCCTTTTATATATTTGAACATGGCTATCATATCACCCCTTAACCTCCTCTTCTCCAGGCTAAACATGCCCAGCTCCCTTAGCCGTTCCTCATAAGGCATCGTTTCCAGGCCTTTGACCATTTTGGTTGCCCTCCTCTGGACACATTCCAGTTTGTCAATGTCCTTCTTGAACTGTGGTGCCCAGAACTGGACACAGTACTCCAGGTGAGGTCTGACCAGAGCAGAATACAGTGGCACTATTACTTCCCTTGATCTAGATGCTATACTCCTATTGATGCAGCCCAGAATTGCATTGGCTTTTTTAGCTGCCGCGTCACACTGTTGGCTCATGTCAAGTTTGTGGTCAACCAAGACTCCTAGATCCTTTTCACATGTACTGCTCTCAAGCCAGTGCAAAGTGAGCCATTTTGGGATGAAGGGTGGGATATAAATTCAATAAATGATCATAAAACAATTTGGTTGGAGGTTAAACTACCAGCTCCACAGCAAATTAAAACTGTCACACTGTTAATTTTTTAAGGCGGCAGTGGGGGGATTCTGGCCCACAGCAGGGGTACTAATTTGGCCTGCTAAGCCATTTTCTCCAAGCCATGTCCCTCTAACATGATGTCAGGTGAGGGACAGGTAAGATCATGGCTGCAAAAGTAAGAATTAGGAACCTTTAAGTGCTCTCACAATTGCTGATTAGCAAGCAGGACTTGCAGTGCCTTTTAAATTTGGTGCCAAATACAAACCTCACTGGGACTGGATCAGATATACTGAACAGAGCTGATCCTGCTTTTGCAGGGACCTTCTTTTGAGACAATACTAAAACTGTCAGTATGAGAGCACTTGGGGAAAGTGTGGGAGTAGAAGGGAGGAAACTGGGAGACGGGGTGAAAACTTATGGCTAGACAAAGCAAAAGATGGTTAAAATAATTATGCAGCTGTTTAATAGGTAATTAAAAGCTCACATAGAAGAGGATGGAAATTTTGCAGTAACTATTTATTTGCAAATGACACACACACTGAGCATGAAGGAGCAGCAAGTACCCAGTCAAACAGTGCTAGTCTGTAAAGAAGAATCAGTTCTGCCAAAAGCAAATAGCATCCACATTCAGCCCCCAGCCCAAGCACATCATGTGTGTCCCAGCTCAGTGGCCCACCAGATCCCACTGTTCACCGCAAGATTATCTATCAAAGGTAACTGAGTAAGGATCTTGTTAGCCCTAAAATATCAACTAGCCATTGGCAAGCAAAGGAGGAAAACAAGAGAGGCATCTCAGATCATGAACAAGTCTTCCTTTTCTGGACCTGAGCATTAGAAATATTCCAGCCTCTCTGAGCATCTAGCAAGCCACTCTTGGGTTATCATCAGCCAGCTTTAGTTTTCTCAGTAACAGAAAGCATACTGAGTTCAATATCCTTGGGATCTGACACAAATACTATGATATTCTCCCTACTCCTCTCACCCCTGTCATGCGGATGTACAGTATGTAATGCTGCAGTTTCATACCACAGAAGTTCAGTGCTTAATCTGTAAAACAATAAGATCCAGGGCTCAAGTATGCTTGGAAGTCAGACCCTCTGACTTGACCCCAATTACAGGTGTGCAAGTTACAGCTACTCAGTACTAGTGACACTGGGAACATATACTGAGTCTGACCATTGGTTCATCTAGTTCAAAATTTCCTACACTGACTGGCAGTGGCTCTCCAGGGCTTTGCATCCCCTTAAAGGTACTTTGCATGTGCCCAGAATCTCTCTTTAGCATCCGATCCCTGGCACTGAAAACATTTTCCAAAGAAACTAAGCCCTGCCGCTTTCCCAAAGGAACATCCAGGAATATGGTCTAATCCCACGCTTTGCATGTAAATGCAGTTTAAAAGGGCAACCTGGACTGCGGAGGAAGCACAGATTTCAACAAGTGGGAACTGGACACGGAAGCCCTCCCTGTCAAAGGCCATATGGACCAAGTCTGCAAGAAGGCCACTGAAACCCACAAATATGGTAAATGATGTTGACAGGAAGCTATACATTTTGCTGGCAAGAGATGAGAAGGCTCTAGGCACGTGTGAGATAAATCTAAGGGGGCAGCGGATCTTGTTAGGTCCTCACCCCGCCCTCCGTTGCCTTGAGACCCCCAACCTTAAGACCTCCCCCTCCCCAAAGGTGTCCTGCCCCCTCTCTTTATGTTTTAATTACTGCCCATTTTAATCTTGATTTGCATGCCGATCTCTCAGAAGTGGGCCATGCCTGGTCTCTCCAAAGCTCTTGTCAGCAACTCCCCCAATAATACACAGGAGGTGGGTGGTGGGGGGAGGCTTAAGGAGCAAATCACTTGCATGTTAATGAGACTGTTTGCTGGAGTCAAGAGAGAAAACAGCAAACAAACAAATGGACTGAATTCCAGCGGCAGCTGTTTGCTCCTTAATCTCGGCTCGTCAGAGGCTGCCCTTTGATGGGACACAATCTACACAAACGATTGTGCTAAATCTTCTAATCTACGTCCTCATTATTACATCCCTTCTTACGCATGTAAATCAGGGACAAACTCATTTTAATATGTAGATAGATTATGGGAGGGGAGGGGAAAAGGGGAGCTACTAATGGTGTCTGTGAGTCAGAGCCTTAAAAAAAGGGGGGGGGTTAGTAATAAGGAGATTGGTGGGGAGGAAAGGGGGGGGTCTGTCTGTGGAAAGCCACCAGGAGGAAAAGTGGAGGGCTTGTTGATGGCCCAAGAGGGAGAAGCTTAAGGGGGGAGGCCTCCGTCACTCTGCCGGAGGGGGCCAATAAAGCGAGCAGCACTTCAGAAAGAAGTGCAATTCAATTAAACAGAGCGTGACAAGCTTTGTTAGAAGGGGGGGGGGGGCGGGAGCACACTGCAAAATAAAATGAGAGTTAACTATCCGGATTAAGTTTAAAGCAGCCACAACAATGAAACTACAGAGCACACCAGGGAGCGACTCCTTCCGAAAGAAGTACAGACGAATACAGAACAGGCAGGTAGCAAGGAGCCCTATAGAGCATGCTGCTGGTGCAGTGCAATAACAGGAAGAATTTGCAATCTCAAAAATAAGATCTTGTGGCACAGTGAGTGGGGCCTGTTATCATTTAGTGGGCTGTGCAGAAATACTGCTGTTGAATGGTAAGGGACAGAGAGGCTGCAATAACCAAAAATAGAGCAATAATAATGCCGACCAAAATAGACTTTTACAATGTTATCTGTAGCAGTTTATTCTCACTTCTCAGCACGGAGCAATAACTACTTCTGTTGCCTTGGCAGTTCAGGGTGAGCATACAACGACCCAGAGGCCTCAAAGCGTGGGCAGGGCAGCCCTGCATTGTGACCTTAGTAGTAGAATCCTAGAATTGTAGAATTGGAAGGGACTATGAGGGTCATCTAGTCCCACCCCCTGCAATACAGGAATCATTTGCCCAACGTGGGGCTTGAACTCTCAACCCTGAAATTAAGAGGTTCATGCTGTACCAACTGAACTACACCTAGTAACTAAACTAGGTTGCGTGAACAACCCTGAAGTGAAGTAGTTACCATGGGGGAAATCACTGACAGCGTGATATCTGAACAACAGCAAAAATGTAGCAAATCAATTCTGAAATGTATGTGTATACATTACCATGCATGAAGTATGATATACACTTTACCATGCATTCCAGTTGGGTTTGGTGTTTAGCAGATATTCACATTCAATGCAAAGGAAAATAAAGGAGGAAGCAATAAGGAGATCTGTTTTTCATGTGAGTGTGATAACAAAACACCTAAGGACCTGAAAACAAACTGAATGCTAATTTAATAAAAGTTTGTACACTTAGCTGTTGAAGAGTTGCTAAGGGACTAACTGGGCAATGTAAACATACCAGCAGGCCCATTTGTCGCATATCCTTAGTGTACTAAAGGAATTGATGATTAAATTTACTGAGCTTCTGTTAGCTACTGTGTTTGGAAGAAGGACAGGTACAGCCCAGACCTAGGGAGAACTTCAGAGGGACAATGTGTTCCTACCTTGCCTGCAGTAACAAATACCTAGCAATATATTTTGCATTAACTCATGGAACCCTTTGAAAATTTGCTGTTCATGTGCAGAAATGTCATTGTTCTCATTCTTCATTTTCAGCTGCAAGAAGAAACCAACTGTGGCCAGCATCACCATAACACTTCCATGCTTCTTGAAATTGCTCAGGGTTTAGAGGGGCAGCAGGTGGCAAAGAGGTGAGCAAAGAAGGAATGAAGTAAATCTTGAGGTGTATGCTCTCTTAAATCTATTAAACTATCCTAAATGGAAACATTTATGTTTCACATTAATGCTCCAGTACTAAGCATATTTGCTCAGAAAGGTTTCGATTTTATTTGCCTCTGAGTAAGCTTGTTTAAGTTTGCAGCCGGACCAACGACATGATTTGAAGCACACTGTGCCATAGTCTTCTGCCAGCACATTGGGGGCGAAGAGTGTTAGCATGGCAATTGGGGCAGGGGCATTTCCTCCCCTTGCCCCATGGTACAGCTTCCCCATTATACTACCCATAGAAGTGCCACAATCTAAACTCTTGACAAGACTGAAATTACACTGACCTGTTTGAGGAAGTACTTTAGAGCATGTGATAAAATGGTTCCAGAAACCACCCCTGCTCATTGGTAATCTGAAGAGTGATTATTGAGACTGTAATAAAAATAATAAAAGACAACAGCTGACAGTTTCCTGGAAATTTCCCTTCTTGCTGAAGAAGCAAGCCAGTTTTCAGTGCGGATTTTAAAATATATATATATATAGGGTCTTTGGTACTGCATATATAGGGATGCAGTGGAAACTTCAAAGAATGGTACAATGATTAATGTGGCATCAAGTAAGTCTCAGATAGAAGGGTCTTCCATGTAACAACTGTACAATTGGATCCTTCAAATGATATACAAGTTTCAAATATATCATCGTTGAACAAGGTGACCAAGCAGATCATCACTGTTCATCTTCAAGCATTCCTGGATGAAATATAAATATTCTATTATCGTTGCAACCAGTTTTCAGACCATAGTTTTGGACTCTTTGGTTGCCCAGCTTTTGAGAAACTGATTTTTCCTCAACGTGGAAGGCTAAAATTGCCCCCTGGTAAATATTCAACCAGTTTTAATGAACTGGCTCTAGGTATTGCTTAAAACCATGTTGATGAACACCATTGTTGTGTCTTGGGGTATAGAGGGTTCCAAGCTACAAGAATGTGTCTTGGGTACTTTGGAAGATCAAGTGGTTTTCGTCCTTTTTTAGTGCAGCAGTCCTTAGTTGTACATAAGCTTAATTGTTACAAAACTGTGATTCACACCAACTCCATTGATCCTGAAAACTAGCATGAGTACATAGAAAACTGCCTTATACAGTTGGTCCATTTGGCTCAGTATTCTCTACACCAGGCTTCTTCCACCTCGGCCCTCCAGATGTTTTTGGCCTACAACTCCCATGATCCTTAGCTAGCAGGACCAGTGGTCAGGGATGATGGGAATTGTAGTCTCAAAACATCTGGAGGGCGGAGGTTGAGGAAGCCTGCTGTACACTGACTGGCAGCAGCTCAGACAGGGTTTTCTCCCAGCCCTATCTGAAGATGTTGGGGATTGAATCTGGGGTCTTCCGAATGCAAATAAGTTGCTCTACCACTGTGATATAGCTCATAGGCATATTGATCCAAGCCATAGGCTGCATACACACCACACATTTAAATATCCCCCCCAAAGAATCATGGGAATTGTAGTTTACCCCCCACTGAGCACTTAACAAACTACAGTTCCTGTGATTCCTTTTTTGGGGGGAGGATGTACTTTAAATGTTCTTCAAAGGTATGGTGTGTACACAACCATAGAAGCAAGACTTTCTTCTACCCACAGGGTTGTAATGGGAGAAAATGAAATCATTAAACAAATGAAATATAAATGAAGTTTGTGGCCTACACTGGAGTCCAAGAAGAGGGCTGAGGTAGTTTGTTCACAATAAGTTGCCCCTGAAGCGTCTATCTTAAATTGAAAAATCACAAACTCAAAGATGTGCATTTTAAACAGAAAAGAAATGCCTCAATGTGACTTTCTATAAATATTTTCTTTCCTGTCTGGATTGTGTTAGTGTGAAATACAACAAATACTTCTGCAGTTTTCAGATTATGCTGCATGGGGGGGGGGCAGATGATGCCTGATTTAATTTTGGCAGCAAAGATTCGCTCTCTGCCTGTCTTCAGTGAATTTCTAGCCTCCAGACTAGATTCTGTGAAACATACACTAGAAATATATTGGACTCTTAACTTCCTGTTGCTTTCCATTCACAGTAACAAATCCGCAATGATCCTGACAGCAAAGAGAGCCTCTTAAGTGCTATTTCTGTATTACATTTGGCAAGTGAAATTTGGCCTGCATGCTGTGATTATTGTCCAAACTCTTGCAAAATATGTCAGGCTGAAAAACGGAAAGTGATTTTGACTACTATGCAAGTCTGTGGCCTTATCCTAGGCCATAACCCTCAGTACTTAACGACTTCTGGACATGAGTGTAAGTATTTATGGTCTTCCTCCTCCCCTGAGAATGAAATTATATGTTTCTGTAACCCTCTTCCAATCCATAGATGTGCACACATTCCAACCTTAACACCTACATTACAACAGAGAAAATAGTTGAGGTGTTCCAGGTCCTTCTGTGGTCATGATTTATTGGATTATTGGTTTATTTTCTTACATTTGCGCCCCGTCTTTCTTCCATTGTGGGGCTCAAGGCATCATATGGGCAGTTTCTAAGCAGCCACCCATCTATGAACTAACCAGACCACAAGCCTCAGTCCTGCTTAGCTTCATCAAGGTGGTGGTCTCTCATATGTAGTCAGACCACACACTGGCATCATAACCAGTGTGGTGTAGTGGTTAAGAGTGGTGGACTCGTAATCTGGTGAACCGGGTTCGCTTCCCCGCTCCTCCACATGCAGCTGCTGGGTGACCTTGGGCCAGTCACACTTCTCTGACATCTCTTAGCCCCACTCACCTCACAGAGTGTTTGTTGTGGGGGAGGAAGGGAAAGGAGAATGTTAGCCGCTTTGAGACTCCTTCAGGTAGTGATAAAGCGGGATATCAAATTCAAACTCTTCTTCTAACTCTGGAGCAGAGCATCTGCTTTGAAAGCAGAAGGGCACAGGTTCAATCCCCTGCATACTCAGGGAGTGCTGGGAATTGTCCCCATCTGATATCCCAGAGAGCTGCTGCCAGCCAGTGTAGACTATACTGGGCTAAATGGACCAGTGGTTTTACTCAGTGTAAGACAGGTTGCTATATTCCTGTGCACCAAAGGCATATTTAATCCAGCAACCTGTTTCTCTTAGTGGCCAACCAGATATCTATGAGAAGCCCACATTCAAGGCATGAGGGCAATAACCCTCTCCCAGTTACTGGCATTCAGAGGCATGCTAAATCTTCCTTTCCTTCTCTTTTCTTCTGTAAAGTTATCAAATGAAATTATTTTGCCTGATGAAATGAACTTTCCCTTTCCACCATTCAAAAATGCCTATTGCATCTTGCATCCTATTTGATGCAACAGTATTGTTGCCTCGGAATTAGAGATTATTGGTTTGCGGCAGAACAGTTTCACAAACCTTGTATCCTCCGTGTTAACAGGAAACACTCTAGATGACCCCAAGGTCAAAGGCTAACCATTCAAAGTAATGACTGGAATTCTACGCTATCAAAATAATATATGATCAGAGAGCGAAACCACAGCAGAATTCCTAAGGCTTGAGTTCTGCATGCAGAAGCAATTTGAACTTGAATTCTGAGGGTTACAGGATGGAATGATGGTGAATGGAACTAGCTAGACCTACAAAAGCAATGGCAGTGTTTTTACTCTCCCTGCCCCATTCACCAGCAGCAAGATCCAACAGAATGTGGCATTTCCAGGATCCAATCTTCATTGTGGTTCAGCCATCCACTAGGGATGGGGCTGAAACTTGAGTCAGTTCACCTTTAAAGGTGGAGCTACCTAATTCACAATCCCTTTCTTATTCTGAAACATTACACAAACCAAAAAATGCAGCCACCCTTCAAAATTAACATTTCCCCAAATTTTGCAATGCAGGTCTCCAGGCAAGTAATATATGCCCCTCAAAAATGCATATAACGTGGTAAAATGTGCATAAAAATGCATATAATAATGAAACTAACACACAAAATGCTTCAATATATTATGGATGTTTGGCAAAATGTTAGGCAAAATTGCATACATAAATGTGTCTATTAGGAGCAATTTACATCAAAACACTGATGAATTGTCACGATGACATTTTTTAAAAAAGAGAAAGATCACAACCGAGAAACCAAAATGGACAGTCCCCAGCTTCGGCTGGGGAGGGCGGGATATATGGTAAATAAAATTATTTATTATTATTATTATTATTATTATTCCTGGCAAACTTTCTGAGCATATTGGACCTGAAACCTTTAGACTGCTGTAATCCTCTGTACGCTTACCCTATAAAATATAGTGGGACTTGCTTCTGAGTCAACATGCATAGGGTTGCACTGTAAAGTTTTAACTATTGATCTCAGCACAAGGTGACTGAAGGGAAAATACTTTGCTGTGCACAGCCAGGTAGGATCAAGGGAACTTATGCTCAATTTTCTAGATATGCAGGTGGGGAGTCCTATATGCCCAGAATGACCTGTCTTCAATCATGCATTGTTACCCTGGTGCCTGTGATTGCTCATGGGCCAACCACTTGGGTCCTATGCTGCCTTGGGAAGAGAGACCTGGCCACAACTTACACCCACTATTCCCCCATTTGAGGTACTTGCTGCCACCAGATAAGGGATCGATTATTTACCAGCTGCCCCTTATCAAATAGCCTCCAAAGATTCCCTGGGGTTTTCTCTGAAACCTCCTTAGGTAGCTCAAGGTTACACTTGTAAGCTGTTTACCTTAACTTGAGACCACACAGGTCTAAGAAACAAAATGTTTACTAAATTGAAAAAATGAAGGGGTTTTAAGGACAAGATATTACACAGAAGAATTAGAGAGACCCAAAATATTCCCTTTTGAGCAAAACCACAACAAAATTGGATACATACAGTTTTCTATCCCTGGTCTACACAGTCCCTAAAACTCAACAGGCTCTCAGTAGAAGCCCTACTCACAAGTAGCCTTTTGTTCCTTAAACCCTCCCTCCCCGGCTTCAAAGTGTCTGTTATTATGCTGAGATCCCCTTGATCTGCTGGGCTTCTTGGATGGCTACCTGCCAATATAAAGGTAAAAGGTAAAGGCCCCCTGGACGGTTAAGTCCAGTCAAAGGCAATTATGGGGTGCGGCGCTCATCTTGTTTTTCAGGCCGAGGGAGCCAGCGTTTGTCCACAGACAGCTTTCTGGGTCGTGGCCAGCATGACTAAACTGCTTCTGGTGCAACGGGATACCATGACGGAAGCCAGAGCGCACGGAAATGCCATTTGCCTTCCTGCTGCAGCAGTACCTGTTTATCTACTTGCACTGGCGTTCTTTCGAACTGCTAGGTTGACAGGAGCTGGGAGAGAGCAACGGGAGCTCACCCCATCCAGCGGATTCGAACCGCCAAACTTCCGATCGGCAAGGCTCAGTGGTTTATACCCCACCTGCCAAAATAGACTCCCCTTGTCAATCATTTTCCCCTCCCCTCAGGTTACAGGATCAAGGAGGTTTGGAGATTTAAATTTCCTGCCCTCAGAGAGAGATGTGGCTTCCTGTACACATGCAATAATGGATGTCTATGCCTTGGGGCATGGGACGCGGGTGGCGCTGTGGGTTAAACCACAGAGCCTAGGAGTTGCTGATCAGAAGGTTGGTGGTTTGAATCCCTGCGACGGGGTGAGCTCCTGTTGCTCGGTCCCAGCTCCTGCCAACCTAGCAGTTTGAAAGCATGTCAAAGTGCAAGTAGATAAATAGGTACCGCTCTGGCGGGAAGGTAAATGGCGTTTCCGTGCGCTGCTCTGGTTCGCCAGAAGCGGCTTAGTCATGCTGGCCACATGACCCGGAAGCTGTACGCCGGCTCCCTCTGCCAATAAAGCGAGATGAGCGCCGCAACCCCAGAGTTGGTCACGACTGGACCTAATGGTCAGGGGTCCCTTTACCTTTACCTTTATGCCTTGGGGCACTGGCTAGGACTTCAAGTTAACTTTATGCTCCACACAGAAAATATGCATCCCCTTGCCAGACACATAAGTAAGATACAGAATCAAAGAACGGCAGAATTGGAAGGAACCACGAGGGTCATCTAGTCCAACCCCCTGCAATGCAGGAATCTTTTGCCCTACTTGGGGCTCGAACCCACGACCCTGAGATTAAGATTCTCATGCTCTACCAACTGAGCTTTATATAATATAAACAAGTAAAAATACACATATTTCAGTTCAGAATAGTAAAGCCCTATTTATTTGCAGTACCTCCGTAAGGAGTTTCAAAAGGCAGGTTATAAAGCCCCTTTTAATTATTCATTGTAAGTGTTGTCTTTTTTATCTGTAGTGATAACTGACAGATACTTCCTCCTGCTCAGTATACAGGGAGAATATATAAAATATTAGGGGTGAGTTGCCATTTAGAGCAGGGTGGCATCCAAAACTTCTCAGCCTGTGTGGAACCAAGATGGAGTGACCTTTAGCACCACACCCCGTGCTTCTTTTCCTGCCAGTAACTTAGCACAAAGACCATCTTGACCTTGAACCTGCCGTGTCCTAACCGAGAACAGGGACAGCTCCCAGAGATTTCTGATTAGGTCAGTGGCCATGTAAAAGCTGGACTCTCCCCTCCCCCACCTCTGTACACAACTGTTCCTCATTTACATAAATTATCTCTATTCAATTATCTGTCCAGATGTCCGAATTGTGCCACCAGTGATCTGTGAATGAATTAAAAATGGAATATAATTTAATAATAACTGATTAGAAGGAGATTAGTTGTTATATAAAAAGGAAAAACCAAGAGATAGCTAGTTGCCCTTAATCCGAGCCAATCCACAATAATTATAGAAAATACAGTCTCTGGCCCCCTTCAATCTCTCCCTCCCTCCATCTCCCCGCTCCATTTTCCTTCTCCCTTAGATGTTCTCTTTTTGCTCTTCCCTTCTCCTTTTTTCATTTTCTTTTTAGTTTCTTCTCCTATAAACATACATCTCTCCACTTTCTCTTGCTTATTAGTCAAGTCTGTATTAAGTGACCTAAACCCTTGATGGTCTTTTTGATGCACCTATGTTAATTATAGATCTCTGAAGAGCATCCGACCAATAAGAGCTTTCAGCTGCCCTGGTTTCCTCTTCTCAACAATTATTCTCTCTTCCTTCTCTTACTAGGAATTGCACCCAGAGTGTGCTAGGGACACCCATCCGGCCAAATGATACAAATCACAGCCCAGAGACCGTACAAACTATATTGGACAGAACAAACTGGCTGGGGAAGTGAGTGCTGGGATTGAAAAATGGGTAGTGGAGCTTGGGACATGAGCTAGGAGAGTCAGGTAGCACTAAATAACCAGGAATTTAGCCAAGTAGAGGTAGTGCAGTGTAGTGATTAGAGCACTGGTCTAGGACCCAAGTTTCAATTTCCGGCTCAGCCATAAAGCCCACTGGGTTGACCTAGGACTAGTCACTGTCTCTCAGACTAACCTACCTCACAGGCTTGTTGTGAGGAAAAAGTAAAGAGGGAGAACCATAATATATGCTGGTTTGTGCTTATGAAATAAATGGTGATAAAGGGCAAAGAGAAGGCAGGGGAAAGGTACAGTGGGAAGAGAAATGGAGACCTTTAAAAGTAAGAACTAGTAGGATCTTAAAATTGATGCAGAGAGTGACAGAGAGTGTGAAGAGGGTGATGGGATCATAGAAGTGACAAGAAAGAAAGATGATTTTAGCAGAGGCATTGTGAACTGAATGAAGAAGGAGATGCGGCAGAAGGGAAGGCTGACAAGGAGGAGGTGACAATCGTCTAGACAAGAGATGTCAACAGCATGGATAAGCATTTTATCCATAGCATTGGGAGAGAAGGGCAGATCTTAGAGATGAAGAAAATGAAGAAGCTGCAGGATTTGGTGACTGCTTAAACGTAGGAGGAGACAGAAAGGAAGGAGTCAAATGCAATCCCAAAGTTGCGCACCTGGGAGGCAAAGGAGATAGCAGTAGCTCAGGGAGAGGTTTAGAGGTTTAGCTGAAGATATTACAAGTTCTGCCTTTGCCATCCTCAAATGTGAAAATCAGTGGAACAGGCAGGAGACAATGTCAACAAGATAACTAAGGATAGAGACTGGACAGAAATCTACTTTTCCTGCGACTATAAAAATGACAGTAAAAACTGAGAAAATAAATACCCAGAGGAAGAAGGAGGAGAGAGAAAGAAGGAGGAGGCCTCAGAGAGCTATGTGGGATCCCAACAGAATCAAGAATCCCAGAGGACTAGGGCAAAAGGGACAGGCAAATTCATGGCTATAAGAGCCATGCTATCTAAATGGAACTTCGGAGGCACAGGGCTGGGGACAAACAGGGAAGGATGTCACCTTCATGCCCTGCCCTCACGTGGTGTGCAAGATGTGACTGAAAATAAAAGGAAAGATTAGGAGACAAACCCAAACTCTGTTGTTGCTGATCAGTTTAGGGCAAAAGCAGCAGCTATAGGAGGCCAAGAGGGCAAACAGAAGCTCGTTCGTGCAGGTTTGGGAAGTAAGGTTGAGGGGCTCAGTTGGACTCAGGATGCTGAAAATGCGCGTGCCAGAGTTTAGACAATAAAATGCAAATGCAGGGAGTATAGAGACCACTCATTTGAGGGAACTGGAGCTGAAATATCTATCTATCATCTATCTATCTATCTATCTATCTATCTATCTATCTATCTATCTATATCTATCTATCATCTATCTATCATCTATCTATCTATCTATCTATCTATCTATCTATCTATCTATCATCTATCTATCTATCTATCTATCTATCTATCTATCTGTCTGTCTGTCTGTCTATCTACAGTGGTACCTCGGGTTACAGACGCTTCAGGTTACAGACTCTGCTAACTCAGATATAGTACCTCGGGTTAAGAACTTTGCTTCAGGATGAGAACAGAAATCGCGTGGTGGCGGTGCGGCAGCAGCGGGAGACCCCATTAGCTAAAGTGGTGCCTCAGGTTAAGAACAGTTTCAGGTTAAGAACGGACCTCCGTAATGAATTAAGTTCTTAACCCAAGGTACCACTCTATCATCTGTCTATCATCTATCTACCTATCATCTATCTATCTATCATCTGCCTGTCTGTCTATCTATCTATCATCATGTATCTATCATCTATCTATAAAAATAAAAGGGTTGGATTGGCAGCAACTAATCTTTGCAGGAGTGACTAATTCAGATGGTTTGTCCCTTGAGGCTTATGGACTCCCAAGGGATTCCTGAATGCTTTTTTGGAGGGAGGGCTTTCTGTTGGCATGAGTGTAACTCCTGCCAATGCCTTGGTTTTGCTCTGGAAAGGGCCATGAACAATATTGCTTGTTCCCAAAGGCTTTCTCCAGTGGAGTCTGGAAAGCTCCCTGGTTTTCCAAGGAGCTCTGGGACATCTGAGACTGGTAGATGGCTAGAGTGCAAGTGACACAAGTGAATATGACCAAACACAGCTTAGAGCGTGTAATTGAACCTACCATATGGTGGTGGTAAAGAAAGCTTACTTCTCTACCACCATTGCATCCTCAGTGAACTGTCCAGCAGCGTTTTTTGGGGTTGTGTCCAGGCCCATTAAGCTTGGCCAGGATTTGGTACAGCTACCCATTCAGAAGCCTGCTGTAACAATTTTCCAAAGGTAAAATCGCCGGTATTTGCTCTGAATTTGAAGCCACGGTTACTGCAGATCTTGTGAAGGTGTCCAGAATGCCATCTGGTCACATTTTATGGGAGCAGTTTTAGCATTTGTGTCCTGATGATGTGGACAGGAGGACAAGCACAGAGATTAGCCAACCATGTGTCCTCTGGATTCTTGCCCATCATGGCCTTATAAGAGCTAGCTGGGCAGATCCATGACTGATTAATGCTGCAGTGCAGGAAGGAGTAATGCCTGTCATCTTCAAAGAGGTGAAGGTGTGGCCCGTCCTTAAGAGGCGGGCTCACTAAACCTTGCAGTGTTGGACAACTACTGCCCAATTGCTAGTATCCCCTTTTAGGGCAAGGTAACCGAGTGGCTTGCTAACTGCAGATTTGTCAGTGAGAAAGAGTGCCTATATCCAGTTATGGCTGGCTTGCCAGTTATGGCTCTTCTTGAACTTTGGTAGGCTGGCCTCAGTAATCCAATCTGATGACCTCATGGCTGAACTACTGCAATGAGCTCTATATGGGGCTTCCTTTGAAAACTGCTGCTCATGCTGAAAGTGACTGCCCAGGTGCTGAGTAGGGCAGCTAAGTGGGATCATATAACAGCATTCCTTAAAATGATACATATGGCACTCCAGATGCTTTTTCACTCCAATTTCCATCAGTCCCAGTCAGCATGGCCAATAGTCTCAAATAATGGCAGTTCTGGAAAAGGCACAGATTCCCAATTCTTGGTCTAGAATATGTAGTTCATCTCTCAGTCTTGGTTTTGAACCTGGGGACTTAAGAGTTCAAATTCCAACAGAGTGGTTATATTCAATCTCTACTTTTAAAGCACCCCCCCAATATAGAATGAATGAAAGCGTAAGATAAAGACTGGGATGCGGATTTATCATAAATACCCAATTCCTTTAATATGGTGAATATGTTTGCCCAAATGTTCCTGTGTTGGACCTACGGTTTCTCCACAATCTCTGGCAACCCAGTCATTATCTTGTTACACAGTTTTAATTCTTAGTTGCTGTATTGCTCTCATGAAATATGGGTCAATAAGCAACAGGGGATAGGACGTCCAGATAATAGCTAGTTATGCCGTCCAGCCACATACAACAAGCAACCGTTCAGGGCTCTTTCTCTGGGAGGGAGGCACTGGATTTTGCTGCTTGGCTCATTTTTCAGATGACTGAAAGAAGGGAAGTAAAAACAAAGGTGCACCTCCAGTTATGTTGTGCTGCTGAATAACAGAGAAGAGGCATGGGCAGCAGTGAGTAGAAGGCAAACCTTGTAAGAGGGATGGCAGTTTTGTGGCCCTCCAGGTGGTATGGGACTCCATTCCTTTCAGCCCCAGCCAGCACACCCCATAGTCAGTTTCTGGGAGCTGTAGTCTAACATCATCCTCATGCCGCCTTATAATAAATATGTGGGTGCACTTTTATGGCAAGGTGAAGCTATTGCATTGTACCTGGACATTTTCTGTGTATGCTTCACACTTACTGCCAGGCACCACAAAGTTCCAGGACATTTAGGTAAAGGTAAAGGGACCCC